TATTTATTTTTGTTAATTCGATTTGCGTTTCTTTCTAATGGCTGCTGGAAATATTTTCGTATTTATTCACTGATTCCCAATTAATTATGAATTCATTTGTTGCTGTTGTTCTTTTTTTGTGTAGATGCTGGAAATCGCTTGTGCATTTAAAACACGTTTAATTGAAATTTATTAAATGTTGCCTGCCACATTTTTATGCATTCAGCCTTTTGCATTCGTCTTTTGATTATTTTTTATTGCTTTGAACTGCTTTTGATATTGTTTTGAGTAACTTTGCGAGCAATGCACTTTGTTGATCTGTTTTGTCTGCTTCTTCTTCATTTGTATATTTGTATGTACTTATATTTATTCACTTATTTGGAATATGGCCTGTATGTACATATTAGTAACCAATCGCTAAAAGCACGAGTATTAACTTATTAACAAGCTTTATGACCAGACATTAATTAAACAGTTTTGTCTTTTTTTAGGTATTGGAATTTGTGCGTAGCAAGCTAAAAATTTTCAAGAATTTTTCAACATTTATTTATTTATTTTGATTGTTATTACTTGTTTTTCGAATATATAGCGTATACGACGCGTCACGTTCCGTTTGCGTAGCCGGGCCACGAGCTGGTCGACAGCGACAGAACAACTGTCCGCAGCATCCGTATAACAGCGACTGAATTTTTGTTGGCCCAAAAATCTCTGGCGGCAGATGTTAACAGTGCGACGCAACAGTCGCTGCCGACGCTGGCAGCACAGCAAGAACTACCGGTTGCTTTCAGTCATATTCTGCGACGGCGCTCTCTTGGCCGCGCTGCTGCCCTCTCTCTCACTCTCTCCCTCTCTCTCTCTCTCTCGCTTGCTCACGCACTGTCTGCCTCTTTCTATGTAAAAATGCAAATACTTAATATTGTGGCATGCACTTAATCTTATTTAGGGTCTTCTTTAAGTGTTTGAGCCTGGCTGATTACGTGTATTCGACTCCTGAGCGCATCCAGAACCTTACTAATGATAACCTTTAGCCACACTAATGACCACAATTCCAGCCAGCTTGACATAGATTCAATTAACTATAAAAGACTTCATACTAAGCTCATAAATGTTTACGCACCCAGAAGCAGACATTCCCGGCTATAATTGAGTTGAGCCAATGAGTTGTTAAAGCGAACCGCATTACAAATTTACAAACATAATTATGCTTCGATTATGCTGGTGCCTTAGAGTGATTCTTCATTAAGCATATGTATAAATCTGTGGAAATTTATATATGTATATATTTTGGTATCTATAATTAATTTTAA